ACCTACTCAATCTGTATGCTGAGCAAATAATCAGAGAAGCTGGACTATATGAAGTACATGGCATCAGGATTGGAGGAAGGCTCATTAACCACCTGAGATAGGCAGACGACATAACTCTGCTTGCTGAAAGTGAAGATGACTTGAAACACTTAATGATGAAGATTGAAGACTACAGTCTGCAGCATGGACTATACGTCAATATAAAGAAAGCAAAAACCCTCACAACTGGACCAATAAGCAGTATCATGATAAACAGAGAAAAGATTGAAGTTGCCAAGGACTTCATATTGCTTAGTTCTATACAATCAACGCCAACGGAAGCAGCAGTCACTACATCACCAGACGTACCGCACTGGGCAAATCTGCTGAAAAAGACTTCTTTCAAGGGCTGAAGAGCAAATATATCTTCTGGAAGACTAAGGTGCACCTAACCCAAGCCATGGTATTTTCAATTGCCTCACATGCATGTGAGAGCTAGACAAGGAAGCTGGCATAAGGAAGACCAAAGAAGAGTTGATGCTTTTGAGTTGTGGTGTTGGCAAAGAATGCTGAAAGTACCATGGACTGCCAGAAGAATTAACAAATCTGTCCTGGAAGAAGTACAGCTGGAATGCTCCTTGGAAGTGAGAATGGCCAGACTTCATCTCACCTACTTTTGGTCAGAGGGACCATTCTCCAGAGAAAGATGTCATGCTTGGTAAAGTGGAGGGTCAACAAGAAAGGGGAAGGTCCTCCACAAGATAGACTAACACAAGTGGCTTCAGCGATGGGCTCAGGTACAGTAGGGATCATGAGGCTGACACAGGACCAGATGATGTTTAGTTCTGTTGTGCGTAAGGTTGCTATGAGTCGGAGACGACAATGGTGTATAACAACAGAGATGTTTTCAACATGTAATTCCCTAACTTTACACAAGCGTTAAGAAACTGGCTTTTAAAAACTATTTGCTAGAGTCTGTCACTATACCAGATGTTCTCACCCTTTTTTGGTCTCTTACTCCTTTAAACTCTTAAATATTACTGAGGTTCCCAAAGAGCTTTTGTTCATTTAGGTTAATCAGGTAATTCTTGTTATTCTCTGCAATTATATTATAAAGTTGTCATGAGTACTAATTTAGCAGTAGTGAACCACTGCTCCTAGGGTCCTGGAAATATCTGGCCACAATATTTTAATCAACCAATCAATATATAACCTTGTTTTACGTATGTTTCAGTTTAAAGACACCTTATTTAATGTATACTATTAATTCATTAGCATTACAATCTCACAGCCAACAGTATTATAATTCATGCCTGAACAAAGCTTACCTAGTACGTGTTATTTTTTCCACAAAGCACATCAAAGCCTTCTTAGGACCACCACTAGACAGCAGCAGTTCAGTACAATATTTGGGGTCATTTTAAACAGAAAAATCACCAAAAACAAGCACAAAAACGAGAAATGTAGCACTAAATATTCTGCAAACAGGACACTTATTTATAGTATGAGAGCTCAAACAAGAAGGCAGAACTTAGCTTTGTTCAACCCTGGCTGAGAAAGTGCATGTCAGGGGGCTCAAATTTTTACCACTCCTATGTCTGCAAATGACCATGAAAACATCTCAAGTATTGATTTGGGGGCTACAGATAAATTTTGGTGAGTAGATAAATTCACAATATGGAACCCCCAAATAGTTAGGATCTACTTATCAATATTCACCATACTAGGAACTATAACAGAAATTTTAAATCTATTAATTCACTTAAACATAAATCCATTACATGTGAATGTAAGAATGTAATTAACATTTTATGAAGTAACATCTTAGTATTACTATGAAACCCATTTTGACATCAAGGACCTCTGAAGAGGATCCCAGAGACCCAAAGACTACACTACTCATTCCCCCCAGAACTGTTGCTCTAAACCATACTTCTGAAGGCTCAAAAACAGTAACAGGATTTCTAAATCCAGATATAAAACATAGTAACTATTCCCCAAAACAAAAAAATTTAATAAGGCAATGTTTTACATTTTTGCAAATCTTTTTTTAATGACTAAGTTATTAAAGACAGCTGGAAACTCATATCTGCTTCTGCAGTTAAACTTTTACAATTTATGATTTAGGTTGTAATACATAAAAAAGTATCTAGGTCACAAAGATATATAGTTGAAAAAGAGAGAAATAATTCAATAGCCTCTTCAACCAATTGTGGTTATTGTTCTCTGATACTACACTAAATGTGACAAATAGCAATTTCTTAAAGGTCAGTTGCAATGTGGAATTTGAAACTTTATCAGTAAACCTGCCATACTCTCTTATTGGCCTATCTTGGCTTTGAATAATTTCAATGCATAATTTTGTAGCATAAATAAACTTTTGAAAAATATTTATTCACTGAGTTATACAGTTCCTCCAAATGTTCATACATTTCATTAAAATATCAAAAAAATCCTATTTGTTAGTATCACCACTCATCTCACAAAAGGAGTTAAATATCAGGAAGCTAACAAATTCATAGTATTAGTCACATTTTCTAAATTCTTATTTTCATTTAAAAGATGAAATTTTATCATTGGCAGCAAATATTATCAGTTTTATTTTTCCTCTTTCAGTGAAAAACTTCATTTTTTTTTTGAGAAAATATATCTGTCATTTAAATGCCTGAGTCTCAATAACCAGTTTGTCAGATGTTCTTCCAAGTAAAAACAGCATTCCATGAAAACAGTATCTAGTTGCTTTTACAACTCACATCTAATAGAAGTGCACAATTCAAGGAAAAAAAGTGTTTTTCAAAGGCAATTATCTTATTTCAGTATGCAAAGTACTTTATTAAAAAGACATGCAGCAGGAAATGCAAATCAAAATCACAGTAAGATAACTCTGCACCCCTAGCATGGCTAGAATAAAAAAGATGGACAGTAACAAGTATTGGTGGAGATAAAGAAAAATTTGAACCCTCATAAATTGCTGGTAGGAATGTAAAATGGTACTCAATTTAGAAAACAGTTTGGCAGTTCCTCAAAGTTAAATAAAAGTAAAGAGTTATCATGTGATCCAGCAGTTTCACTACGAGGTATATGCCCAAGAGAAATGAAAATGCATGGTAACGCAAAAAATTGTACACAAAGGTTCATAGCAGCATTATTCATAATAGTCAGAAAGTATAAAACCACCCAAATTTCCATTAATTGTGGACAAATAAAGTGTGGTGTATACATAAAGAACCACTGATATTAGTTATCTATAAAAAGGAATAGTATACTTATACATACATTCTACAACATGGATGAACCTTGGAAACATTATGCTAAAAAAAAGAAGTTGGACACCAAAAACCACATACTGTATGATTCGATTCCATTTACATGAACTGTCCAGAAAAGACAAATCCACAGACACAGAAAGCAGTTCACTATTTCTACAGGACAATAGCAGAGGGAATGGGAAATTTGACTACTAGCAGGTATGAAGTTTCTTTTTGGGGTAATAAAAAATGCTCTAAAACTAGATGTGATGGTTGCACAACTCTACTATACTAAGAACTGCTGAATTTCAGTATACTTTAAAGGGTGAATTTTATGGTATGTGACTTGTATCTCAATAAAACTATTTTTAAAAATACAACATTCAAGGGTCTAGAATTAATAACATTTTACTTGTTCACCAAGGATATTCTTTGGTGAAACTGGCATTGTTTGAACTGTAAGTACACAGACATGAAGAACACCACAATTACTGATACCGCTTGGTGCCACTGCCTTGATTCATGCTAAGACACCAGCAGTTTTATCCACCATTGCTTTTGAACACTAGTGCAAATGTGAACAGTGAAAAAATAAGGTAACATCTTAGTATTACTATGAAACCCGTTTTGACTTCAATGACCTCTGAAGAGGATCTCAGAGACCCAAAGACTACACTCCTCATCCCCCCCAGGACTGTTGCTCTAAACCATAGCTTCTGAAGGCCCAAAAACAATAATAGGATTTCTAAATCCAGATATAAGACTCTAGGACAATTCCAATGGTCTAAACATTATTACAGATTTCTCAACATTCCTCCCAAAAAAGAAAATATTTAAGCAGTGATAGGTGTTATTTTAATAAACTCAAGTGTTCCAGTTAAATAGTTTTAATAACTTCCACTTTCGTGGAAGGCTAAAATGGTACAAACTCTACAAAAACCCAAACATGAAGCAAAATAATGAAAGTAATAAAGTTCAGGATATAGTATATAACAAAATACACAACAAAATGTTATCTACACAAGTTAACATTTATAGGGCAAAAAAAGGCATCTCTTTCCAAGTTTTAGTACTTAATTCTTAAACAACATTCAAATAGATTACTTAAATTTCTACTTATGTTATCAACTGAAATACTGCTAGCACAGCTAAGCATAATGCCCCCTAAATACTAATAAGAATAAACTATTACAGAATCAAAGAATTTTAGCTCTAGAAGGGCCCTAGATATAGTTCCCATTTTACATGATTGGGAAACTGAGGTCACAAAAGAAAATAATTGTTTGGCCAAAAATCACATAGCTGAGGCAGTGTAAGCAGTCTTTTACTCCCAATGTCTGTTTTCACTATGCCAACCTGATTCTCCAAATCTATAAAATATTTAATCCACATCACACCAGTGCCAACCAAGACACCCTAAATGCCAAATAAAACTTTAGTAATGCTTGATAATACTAATCAGATGTATTAATATAAAATTGGTAAGGGGAAAATGGTAAATGTAATTGGACTAATAGGGTAACACTAGTCTTCAACATCAAAAATTCCAAACTTTCAATGGAAAACAATTTGGAAGATCCTTTGATGTCAACTTTCATACAAACACTGGGAAACATATCATCACTTCTGAAAGACATCCAGATGCTGATAAAACATCTAAAGCAAAAAATTCCCCTACATGCTACCAAATCATTCAATTTACCAATGGCATGACATGACTTAAGACACACAAAGTATGCTTTTCTAATAAATCTTGTGTTAAAATAGACATACCTGCAGGACTGTCAGCGTTCTCTCCTGGATGTAGCTGTATACCAGTAGAATCTATAGAGTTTACTGTAACTGTCTGCAGATTTGGCAACTGACCAGTGCTTAGACTAACTGGAGTTGAAGTCAAGGCTCCACCTGCTGCAACTTGACCAAGCGTGAGCGTCTGAACAGGTGTCAAAGTTATTTGTTGGGCAGCAGTATTCTGTATTTGCAAATTCTGCAAGTTCTGGACCCCTTGTACTTGAAATGTTTGCCAAGTTATCTGTCCAGAAGGGGTCACTGTCTGTGCCTGAATTAAAAAGGTTCCTGGATTCAGCTGCAACTGAAGATTTTGCAAAGCCTGTTGTGATATATTCTGACCACTGGCTTGCACACCATGGATTGTCTGTGGTGTAATACCTTGCACAATTTGGGCTTGACTGGTTGGCTGCTGAGACTCTTGAAGCTGTAGATGTTGTACAATAGGCTGTGCTGTAGAAACCTGAATATTCTGAGCCTGTGTCTCTTCAGAAACAGGCGACTGGATATAATTTCCCTGAAGATCTGAAGAATGCACTTGCCCACTAGAAGTGGTCAAGCTATTTGTATTTTGTTGTAATATACCTGTACTATCTATAGTAACAGGCAACTGTGATGAAGATGAAGTTGGCACAAATAAATCTGTATCAGTATTAGTTTCATTAATATCGGGAGAAACACGCTCACCAGTCCTTTCTGAATTGTCTGAACTATCCATAGCTTGTCCTGTGTTTATCAAATGTCCATCGGCATTAATGCCTGCAGTCATTGTCTGAGAACTGCCAGAGAGTCCCAAAGAATCTAGATCGACACTATTGATTGGTACAAAGGTAATATTTCCTGGCAGACCAAGAGGCACATTAGCAACTACTTGGGTTTGGCCAGGAAAAGATGAACCACCAATTGCAACTCCCTGAACCTGAACCTGACCAGTCTGTGGTATGAGATCCTGAATATTACCAGGAGGTGTTCCAGAGGCAAGTAGAGTTTGATTAGAGCCAGGAATGATCTGAATTTGACCACTTTCTTGATTTATACCCCCATTATCTGAAGAGCCTGTGAAACCAATCTGAACCTGCTGACCATCTGATGACTGTATCTGTGGTATTACTTGATATTGAACATTAGACACTGTACCATTTGATGACTCTGATCCTGGTGCAACTGAAAATATTTGTTGATTCTGCAAATTCTGAAGGGGAAGGACATACTGCCCACTTGAAGTAGCAGCACTTGGGATCTGTACTAGATTACCAGCTTCATCTTTTATGGTCGTAGGTGTGGCTGACAAAACCTCCCATCGATTTGGTGCTCCTCCTAACTGTGCAGAAGCCAAATCACCTGTCTGGATGAAGAAAACAAAAAATGTTATGGGACATATTTGTGGTATGTTTAAAAAAACTAACCCTCAAAAAATTCTGAAAACTGGTATAAATCCTACTACCTAAAAATAAATGTCATCTTAATAACACAACCAAGTTCAAATATAGAAGCAGTGATATACAATCTACAAAAATGATCACTTCTAGTTTTGCTAATTACTACAAAGATAATCCATCTGAATCCTATTTGAACAGGAAAATAATCTCAATCAGAATATTCTCTGCTTTACAATCACAAACTTATCTTTTAATTCTTGATCTATGATTACTAATGGCATACAGTTTTAAGGGAAAAAAAAAAGGGGGATGAAAGTGGCTAGAAGATTACAGACAGCTCAAACCAAATTGTACCTTAACTACTGGAGGAAGTTCAAAAACTATGCAACTCTCTAAAAATGTATCACTAATCAGGTGCATTACATTTACATACAAAGAAGAAACATTATTCGTGCAGTTTCCAAGTTAAAAAAATAACAAAATAATATCATTGCTATAAAAATGAAATCAAATCATTAAAGCTACTTTTTTTATGGCTGGTATTAATATACTCTAAACTCACGGCTAGGAGTTACTCCATTAGCAAGCTATCAACTCTCTCTACTTTTCCCATGAACTACTAGAAAAAAACGAGTCTTTAAAATAATTTGAATGACGAAAGGTTTTTGCTCTAGGACTGCATGGCAAAGTTGCCCCATCTGAAAGGATTTTCTAGTAACTGAAAGGTGGAGGATAGGGACTGTGGCTTTACCTTCTACTCTTAAGTTTGTATCAGAATACTAGGCTATACATTTTTTGCCTTCTGGGACCTGCTAAGACCAATGTCACTGTAGTGGTTTTTTTTTTTTTTTTAAAAAGGGACAAAATAACAGTAATCTAAAATGTGTGCTTCTTTTATATGCCTAATACCATGGTAGGTATTACAAGATTGTATCACTCCTTAAAACAATTCTATGAGGTGTTACTACTATCCCCATTTCACCGGTAAGAAAACTGAGGGACAAGATCACATATCTATCAAATGGTCAAGATAACATTTAAAATCAGACCAAACTTAACTCCAGAACCAAGGCCCTTAACCATTGTACCATATTTGTCTCCACTAAAATGGGGTTAAATACAAGGGGAATGATACCCACCATGAATAACTATCAAAATAAAGCCAATCCTGTTCTACTTCTAACTAGGCCTATCTGATTTCCTGGAACTTTACACATATCACTGCTGTTGTTGTTGTTACGTGTTGTTGTTGTTACGTGCTGTCGAGTCAGACCCAAATCATAGCGACCCCTCCCTGGGTTTCCGAGGCAGTAACGCTACAGAAGTAGATTGCCCCATCTTCCTTCCAAGGAGTGGCTGGTGGGTTTGAACAGCCAGCCTTCTGGTTAGCAGTCAAGTGCCTTAGGCACTATGCTACCACAGCTCCCTTACATATCACTAGACAGTTAATATAAATGTATCTAACCCAGTATTCTCAACCTAGCATCCATGACTGGGTCTCAAGAGATCTATAAATCCTCTGAAACAGACCAACTTTTTGAGGAAGTACTAAAGGGGAAGGGGATCATCTAAGGCTTCATCATAGTCTCACAGGGGTCTGTTCTCCCAACATAAACCATTCCACAGAGTTTAATATAAATATTATAGAAACAAAAGACTTTAAATATTATAGATATAAAAGACTTTAAAAGTTTATTAAGGAAATTCACCACGTGATTTTCATATAGACCCATAGTTCGAAAGTTTGTATTTCAATGGATGAACCAGTTTAATAACTCAATTCAAACATTAAAATATATCTGCCAAGATTCAATAACGATGTAAATAAAACCATGAGACACACAATCTATGTTCAAACAGTTCATGTTCTACCCAAGCTGAGTTACACATACATGCTAACACAATGTGAAAAGTGGCATAAAACTAGCCATTTGATCACAGACGAGCTATTTCATGGAGTCTTAGAATAAAATTTTAAAAATTCAATGTGGGAAGTTAAGAAATAGGGATAGACAGGGAAAAACATTAATAAAGATATGGTAAAAATATCATCAAAGACAAAAAAAAAAAACCTAAAGGATAATACACAGTTTGACACTGAAGAGGATCCAAAAGAGAATGAAATTCTCAGAAGTAATAGGAAAGAGGACTAAACATTTATATCAGGGCCTGCAAATGGTTTCACAGATTCCAAGGAGTATGGGTTTTCTTTCATTCTGCAGATAGTGAATAAAAGTTTTAACAGGTTTTTAAGCAACTGAACAGTATAAATCAGCTCTGTGTTTTTATAAAGATAGGTAAACTAAAGCCCAGTACAAGAGACTAAAAACAAGCTAAAGAGACTACCAAACCAAGACCAAACACACTGCTGTCAGGTCAGACCCGACTCATAGCGACCCCTCCTTGGGTTTCCCAGGCAGTATCACTATGGAAGTAGATTGCCCAACCTTCCCTCTGAGGAGTGGAAGGAGGGGTTTCCCAGGCAGTATCACTATGGAAGTAGATTGCCCAACCTTCCCTCTGAGGAGTGGCTGGTGGGTATGAACCGCCAGCCTTCTGGTTAGCAGTCAAATGCCTTAGGCACTACGCCACCAGAACTCCTTAAGAGACTGCAGGCAGAGAAAATGTAGAACCCAGTACAAATGCCTAAGCCTAAACTAAAACAGTAATCCATTTTTTAAATACAGATAATTAAAATAAGGCACCAGACATTAGTCACATGACATTCTTTAACTTCCATCTGGTATAAAAACCACGTTTAAGTCACCTTTCCCAATACAATAGTAACAATTAGCATTTCATTTCAGCCTCTTGGAATTGTAAGTAAACTAAAGATATTTAAATCTATACATTAAACTTTATATTAAAATCTTCACTTAAGAATTACTTAAATCCAATCCTCAGCTGCTTCTGGAGGTTGTTTATCTTTTGAAACTCTATTATTGAATCTTTTCTGACCAGCATTAAATTTACAACTATTCAATTTACAACCAAGAACAGAGTATCTCATACACACACCAATTTTACAATGCTGTCATTGTGTTACTTTTTCTTCCTTTTAAAAATAGTCAAATTTATGGTATCCAATTTTTTTTTCCCAAAAACAGCAGTAAGGGCAGATTATGATGGCAGATTAAAATCTCAACCTGTAATGAACATCTTAAGAGAGTCCTTGAAATAAGTCCAACTACTCAAATGACAAGTCTAATTAACTGCTACCCAAAAGTTGCCCTTTCTCCACAGGCTAAGTTAAAATATAGTACCATTCTCCCCAGCACTGCAGGTTACTGACTGAAGAAAAATCCCCAGGACAAAATGACATTTTGAACTTTTTTTGAATAACCCTAGAAACATGTTTTTTAAAATATTTATGAAGCATAAGCTTGAGAGGGAAAAAAGAAAAAGTAACAGATAAGATAAAAAAGAAAATTCAGGCAAGGAAAAAGATTCTCTTTTGTGAGTTAAATCTGCAATTATAAAAAATTTATACTAAATATCAGAAATATGAAAAATGGAGCAAGGAAAAAAACTGAATCAGAAAACCAGGTGTTTATGATTTAAACTATGAAAGGCGGTGCAGGGTATTGTTATACTATAGCAAAAAGTTTTAGTTCTATACAGGGAAGAGGTAACCATCAGGTGAAGTAGACGGGGAGCTGTTGCACTGGGGTAAATTGTAGTCAATGTCATGAGACAAAGTGTGTGAGCTGCTGTATGGAAAGTGAATTTGCTCTGTAAACTTTCACCCAAATCACATTTTTTAAAAAAAATTATATACACACACACACACACCCCTACCTATATATACATGGGAGCTCTGGTAGTGTAGTGCCTTAGGCACTTGACTGCTAACTAGAAGGCTGGCAGTTCAAACCCACCAGGCACTCCTCAGAAGGAAGGCTGGGCAATCTACTTCTGCAGTGACACCCCTTGGAAACCCAAGGAGGGGTCACTATGAGTCGGGTCCGACTCAACAGCAAATGACAACAACATTGTTTTTACCAAAAAATACATGTATAGAAATACATATACATAAATATATATATATATACACACACACACACACACACACATTGTGTTTACAAAAAAAAAAAGTTTTAGTCCAAGCTAGAACTGTGTGTGTGATTTGAGGTGTCAATTTCCTTATGTCAAAAATGGGGGAAAGGGGAAATACTACTTTGAAGGGTCCTAAAAATCAAAAGGGAATATAAAGCTTTATAAACTGAAAGCACTATGCAATCCTAAAACCAAACCCAAACCAAATGCACTGCCATGGTGTCAATCCCAACTTATAACAAGCCCACAGGATGAGCAGAACTGCCCCATGGGTTTCCAAGGCTGTAGGCAGACTGCCACATCTTTCTCCCAGAGTGGCTGGTGAGTTCGAACCATTCAGTTAGCAACCACCAGGGCTCCTAAAAGAGATAAAGTACACGAAACACCAAACGGGAAATTAAGTTAAATTAGAAAATCCTGTGAGATTAAAAAAGAAAGATACAAAAATGTTTTGATGCTAGGTTATAGGAAACACTTCAGAAAGTCAAGAAGAGACATAAAAATGCATAAACCAGGCAAGAACTAGTATTAGGTCTATTATTTCTAGAACAGTGGCTTGCACAACAAACCCAGAAACATAAAGTTGCAAAATAACTCTCTACACAAACTTAAAAACTAAAAGATCCACCAGTGTTTGTCTTACTAACTCTAATATTCTTACTGGACAACAAACAGACAGAACAACATCTAACATGGAAGTTGGCATTATTGTAAAAAGTTGTCACTGAAGGATTCTAAATCTCCATTTAAACACACAGCCATGTGATAAAAAAAGGACCAACAACCTAGAGTAAGAGTAGCCCTGGGTAGCACCAGCAGTGACATGGCTATAGCAATTCATTATAAGGGCATTCTTTAGTGCAACCAGGCATAAAAACAAAGGGGGAAGGGTAGGGAGGAAAGGAAAAGAGGTATCTTCTCAGATACTATCTGTAAAAAAGGAAAAAGAAAAACACTACTAACTTCTCAGTTCCTACAAATGATTTTCTGAAAGCCTGAAACAAGCAAAGAAAGAGTATGCATAAGTGAAAACAAGAAAAAGTGTGAGCCATGCTTAGGTACTTTAAAAAAAAAAAACCTTCAAGAAACACTAAAATAATTCTAAAAGATTCTAAACAAAAACAATCAGCCAATAAATTAGTTACAATGACAGGTTAGGTTGTAAGTAAAAGCAAAAATGACTTCTTTTTGAAAAAAGCTATCTTATTTTAGCTCACCAGCATTTATAGACTAAATTACTGAATACTAAATATACAACTAAAGATAAGGCAAAGACTATAATAATATTTACCTGTACCTTTTACTTATATTAAAATATGAATAGAATAACCAAACTAACAATCTACAAGTTCATATAAACGCAAACTGGGTAAGTTAGTACTTACATAAAAGCTTACTTTCTTCTATTTTATGATTTATTACTAAAATTAACCGTACAACTTTTAGTAATGAAATATAAAGGAGTCTTTCTATGCAACTATTTTTAAGAGTCCATATTGGGGAACATTACAGGTCAGACTGCTTTGTAAGTAGACATGTACAATACTGTATATGAGGTAAAAAGCAAGCATTCTTGGTCAGGATCTACAACAAACTCCAAATCCCAAATGACAGTTAAAGCAAATCTCCAGTGTAGCTGATTGGCTTTTCAAGACTCTTTTTAATCTAAACTAGCATAAAGTTTAATTCTGTGTATTTATTTCCCCTTGATTTTAAACACAATATGCCACAATGCAATGTGGTAACCTGGATTAGATGCTGGGGCAGAAAAAGGGCATTACTGGAAAAGTGGTGAAATCTGAATACAAAGTCTGTAGGTAATAATACTGTACCGAGATTAATGTTCTCGATTTGACAAATATATACTATGGTTAACACTCAGGAAAACTAGGTGAAGGATACACAGGAGTCTTTGCCATTTTTCCGTAAAATCTGTAAAATGAAGTTTATTTTTAAAATGACAAATCTCTGCAACTCTCTGGTTGCTAGTAACCTGGGTAATTATTATCTAATGACATTTTTTAAGTGGAAAAAAGTATGCCCACCAGCCGTCTAACTTCTAATTTTGAGACAGAGATGACAAAATTCATTTTGAACTAGAAAAATATTATTTCTATTTGCCAAGGCAAACATATTCAAGCTGGTCATACCAATATTACCCAAAGTGAAAAATTTTGTGCACAGGTTCCAAGCATACAAAGAAAAAAATGCTCCAACTAATTTTAGCTCACGTTCATGTGGTAGGAAATGTGTGTCAGTAATGATCTCAGTAAGGTGGCCTAGAGGAGGAGCTACGTCAGGGTTGGGGCAAAGGTATGGAAATGACTTCTCTACAAGTAGTCAGGCACAGTTGGCTCAAGTTGGATAGTACTCTATCCCCAGGTCTGAGACTCACAAATGTATGTATACATATTTTTCACAAACAACTTCCTCCTCCACATCTTCCCCTCCCCTCTAGGAGCTGCTAACTAAACTTGCTAAGTTTCCGCGAGGAGAAATTTTTTGTTCTATTTTAAATGTAAGAATAGTTAAGTAAAAACAATCTGCTTTGCAATTATACTTGTGTAGATAGTGGTTTTCTAAGATAAACAATCTGCTCTAGCATTGTGGAGCTAGAGGGACAGTTCATAAAAAGGGTTTACCAACCCAAAGATCTCTTTCAAAAGAACAGTGCCTCTCACAAACATAATTTTATGTTTCTACATTTTAATCTGCTTACAAAAGCACAAAATGAAAAAAAAATCATACTCCAAAAACATTAAAACTATTCACAGCCCTCTGTACTGTAATTTCAGACACTGAAATCACAAATATAATATTTAGTAACACACCTTAACCCTACTTAAACATTAGCTTAACTCCTAACGCCTAGATATACTAAATATTTGCTGCAGTACATACCAGTATGAAACTTTTTTTTAACCCAGTGACAATTTAAAATACCAGTACACAAATCAATTCCCATAATCCATCTCAGATAACAAAAAATAACAGAAAAAAGTTCTAATTATATTAATACATAAGCACATCTACATGTTCAAATATAAAACTCACAATTACCAGTCTAAAAAGTGTTTCTAGCTACTTTGTAGTAAATCCTCATTTCACATTGAGCAGCTCCTACCCCTACCCCAGACACCCTAAAAAAGCTAAAAAAAATCTCACCATACCTTATCAGTGAAAATATAGCTTTGCCAACCAAATTCAATTGCATGTAAATTTCTTGTATTTTTCTAACACTGGTACCATTCAATTTCAAAAACCAAAATAATGTCCAAGTTACTTAGCTGATTGAAACTGTCGCTAATTAAATGTTTCAATGACTCTACTCACAAGAAATTATTGCAAATCTGAGTGGTAGTCTGCAAAAAATAAAATTCAAAAACGTTGAATGGCCACTTAAAAAGCACTCTAAAATGTTCACCCTGCATACAAAGGGTAATTTAGAGAATAAACCTTCATTCTTGTTCTTTCGATGACTTACGAACTGAATCAATAAGATCTAATAACTTCTAGCAGAAAAAACTCCAGGCTCAAAAATAGTAAAATCCGAAAACACAGCCTCTGTAGTTGATACTATGGCCGACAGGCTGTGCTTGAAAATTTTGTAGTTCAGCGAAGGAGTTTTCAACACTGATAGGAATTGTTCAAACATCCATTTTAGAGTCCTCTACCCCCATCTCTAAGGCTTCATTTTGTAATGAATTTGAGCAAAATGCCTAAGTGACAATTTAAAGAAGCTGGCTTCGGATCTAAACCGGCATGCAAAAGAGCAGGAAAGGGCGCCCAGGATGGCGATCCGTCCTTTGCGGGGGAAGGCGCGGGCGCCAGGAAGGCCTTTTGGGCGGGCGCGCCAAAGGCCCGGGATGGCGGGCGCGGGGCCTCGGCGGGGGCGGGCCGCGCGCGCGAGACTTACCGCTCCGGTGGTGGCGGGGGCCCCAGCTGCAGCGGCCGCCTCCTCCTCTTCGTCGCCTGGCGATGGCGGCCCTATCTTGCTGCAGGTAGCGGCCAGCAGAGCAAGCGGTGACGGCTGAGTGTCCTACCCCCGATGGGCGGGTTCAGAGAGGGAGACAGGGGGAGGGGGTGGCGGTTAGGGCCGGGCCGCCGCTCGCACAGGAAGTACGACTGGGTCCTCGCAGGCTGCGCCCGGGCCAGCGGCAACCCGCGCTCTCCTCCTCCTCCTCCTCCTCTTCCTCGACTCCGGCTCGCGTCCTCCGGTTCGCACGCACACCAGCACCGCCGTCCGCGGGAAGGCGGCGGCGGGCTGCGCGCCGGGCCTCCACCTTCCGCCCGGAACCCACCCCCGGGAGGGCGCACACACACACACAAAAAGGCGCCGGGAGGGGGGGAAAGCGGGCGGGGTCGGAGCGTTGGCGCCTCGGGCGGGCAGCTCCCGGGGCGGGGGAGGGGAGGAGGGACGCGAGGAGGGAGGGGAGAGGCGAGGGGAGGAGAAAACGGCGAGAGGGGGGAGCCAGGCCAGGGCTCAGCCGCTCCTCACCTGGGCCACCGCCGCCGCCACCGCGCCGTTTCCGTGCTGCTGCTGCTGCTGCTGCTGCTGCTGCAGATACTCGCCGTGGCCGCCGCCGCCGCTGCCGCCGCCGCTGTCCACGTCCAAGGCAGCCATTTCCTCTTGTTTCACGGGCTTTTCGGGAGCTGCAGGCACAGCGCGGGGGGAGGGGGAAAGGAAGAGGGGTGGAGGAGAGGGAGGGGGCCCGCGGGCCGAGGCGAAATTACTCCCAAAGCCCTGACCGAGTCCCCTTCCCCTCCCCCACCCGTCCCGCGGCGGCGGCGGCGGCGGCGGCGGCCTCTTCCCCTCCTGCTGCTGCCCCCGCCCGCCGCTGCTGTAACCCTCCTCCTCCTCTTTCCCTCCTCCTCCTCCTCCCCGCGCTGCCCCTGCCCCCTCTCCTCTCCTCCCCTTTCCCTTCGCGCCGCTCGCTCTCACTCGCGCTCGCTCTTCTCGCACCGTCAGTCACTCACACACGCCCGCCCGCCGCCCGCGCCTGCACACAGGGGGATGCGCTCCCGGCGGACTGGGCCGCCCGCCCCGGGGCCCGGCGGGGAGACGGCGTTGCTGGGGCTTGAGGGGTGGACAGTGGCTGGCAAAGAGGGAAGGGAGGCGAAGGGGAGTGCGGCTTTCTGCCTCTCACAGACACTCGGTCGCACACACGGTGCCGGAGGCGGCGGCGGCCCCAGACTGGCTGTGGTCGGCGGCGTCGGCAGCAGCAGGGGTTGCTCTCTCTCGGCTTTACGTACCGGTCATAGTGTGTTTAGGGCACCTCAGGCGGGGCTCCCCGCCGCCTTACACATGGTGAGGAGCGAAGGCGGCGGGAGAGGATGCGGGAAGCGGCGGCGGACACGGCCGGAGCGGTCCGGGGATTTTTTTTTTTCCTATTTTGATTGACTGTGCGGGAAACACAAAAGGTGGAGCCTCCAGCCCAAAAGGGGGGAAGAGGGTGACAGCCCGCCCGGAAGTCCTGCCCCTCTTCTTCCCGCTCATTCGCTACCACATTCTCTGCCGGGTGTTATCATTGGTCCGGATGCCCGTCTGTCGCTCGGCCTGGCGGTGCGCTTCCTGTTTGCCCCCGGGGTGGAAGGGAAGAGACAATGAGCGGCCGAGGCGGCGTAGGTTCCCGGGAGCAGCTAGGGCTCGCCCGTTATCCCGCTGTGCCCGCCTCGCTTGCCGGCTGCCGCTGCCAAGGCCGAGGCGCTGGCCTCTCCCACCTCGCAGGCGCTCGGAGCAGGCCCCGCCAAGCTGTGGGAGAGCTGAGCTGAGGAAGAAATCCGTCCCCGGTGGCTCCGGCTCTGCTTGACGCGTCCTCCATCCCGGTGGCAGCCGCGGCCCGATCTCCCCAAGGCCTCTAGCTCTCCGAGCCGCCGCTTCCCAACGCTGCCTAGAGGCCGCCGCCGCTCAGGCCTGGGGCTGCTGCTGCGGCCGCTGCTGCTACTGAGCAAACCAGACCCGCCCCACGAGCCCGAGGGGAGGGAGCTGGTATTGGGGGAGACACCCCCTCCGAGGCTGGAGGAGGATTTTCTCTCACGCACGTTCTGTTCTAGGATTCACAGTCATAGCCGTCTCATTCCCAGTCCCCTTAGTTCCAGGTTTCCAAACCACCTCCCTGAGGCAAGCATTTAAAACAAAAAATCTTAAGTCACCACACACATTAGGAAGGCAGCTTTAATCATGGTCAGTGGCACGAAAAGAGATTTTAAAGTGTATTTCCCTTAATACGTTGTGTGTGTATGTATTGAGTAGGTCAGAATCCAAAAAAATGTTACCCTGATAATCATTTTAGAGCACAAATAGACGTTATTCCCCGACTGTTAATTCTCTTTGCTCAAAGTCAAATATCTCCTGAAGAAGTCCATCAATAACTACCAACATTTTAAAAATAGAGAAATCTCATTGAATTGTGCTTTTCTTTCCTTAGAATGTTTTAGCTACATTTTAAATTTTCTTTTCATTTATTGGATTAAGTTAACCTTCCTTAGGCAGTTAGCATCCTTGATATCTTGCTATCATAGGGGAGGGAGAGGAGGAATGTGCTGCTTTCCTTTTTTTTTTGCCAACTAAGAGACATCTCTGCTTATTACCTTTAGATACAGTTGCCAAGAAAGAGGTTAAATGCAAGAGTTGTTAAAGCTGTCCATGGTACTCCTTTTATTAGAAATCTGATTTTAACAATCAGTGTTCCAATTACTGTGATTTTTACATTACCTGGATAAATGAAGTTGGGCTGGAGGTGGAAGATGCCTGGGGAGACTTTACTGGGTTGGGAAGTCCAAGCTCTTGAACTAGATTTTGTGTGTGCTAACTTAAAAAAAAAAAAAAAATACTTAATCCGTTTGTGACAGAGTTTGCATCTCAGTTCTAAGCACTTACACTTGAGGCCTATATTCTAGGTTGGGAACCATTCTTTGGTTATTTCACTCTTAATTGTACAAAAGATTGAATTCCCAGGGAATTGACCTAAAAAAACATAAACATGCAAAAATGAGACTTGAAATTCCAAGTCCGAGAATAGAGTTGATCTAATAGTAGTGTTCTGGGTCTCATTTTTAATTAGAATTACTTTACTTTAAAAGTTGAATAATACAATATACAATATTGTACAATATAGAAAGATTGTACACATAAAATTTAAAGGAAAATAAAAGTGTCATAAAATAAGCTGATTTTTGCAAAAAATAAAAGGGACAGATGACTTGAGACCCCAGGTGAAAACAAGTAGGAGGGTTATCTAGTGATGCTATAAAAGAAATACCACAAGTGGATGGCTTTAACAAACAAATTTATTCTCTGACAGGTTAGGAGGCTAGACATCCAAATTCAGGGCTCCAGCTTTAGAAGAAGGCTTTCTGTCTCAGGCAGCTCTGGGGAAAGTCCTGTCTCCTGTCAACATCTGTGGGGCTTTTGTTCCTTGGAGGTCTCCATGTGTCTTGGCATCAATCTTCCCCTGGGTCTAAAAGGTTCTCAGAGAAGGGACCCCAGGTCCAAAGGACATACTTTACTAACCACCCTTCTTTCTTGGTGGTACTGAGGTCCCTCTGATCTCTACTTCTTTGTTGTTGTTGTTGTTGTTATGTGCCGTCGAGTCAAACCCGACTCATAGCGACCCCTCCTTGGGTTTCCGAGGCAGTATCACTACGGAAGTAGGATTGCCCAACCTTCCTTCCGAGGAGTGGCTGGTGGGCTTGAACCGCCAGCCGTCTGGTTAGCAGGCAAGTGTCTTAGCCACTATGCTACCAGAGCTCCCCTCTACTCCTTTAATCATTTATATCTCAAAAAAGATTGACCCAAGATACAACGTAATCCTGTAGTTGATATGCTGCCTCATAACATCATACTCACTGCCATCAAGTCGATTCCAACTCATAGCTACCCCCGTTGTGTTTCCAAGTCTGTAAATCTTTATGGAAGCAAACTGCCTCATCTTTCTTCCTTGAAGCAGAGCTGATGGGTTCAAATCACCAACCTTTTGTTAGCAGTCAAATGCCTTAACCACTATACCACCAGAGCTCCCATTATCGAGGTTTGGACTTAAAAGATAATTACATCAGATCAAAAAATGGAGGATACTTACATAATACTAAGAATCACAGCCTAGCCAAGCTGACCCCTATTTTGGGGAGGCACAATTCAATCCATAATAGGGAGAGAGAGAGCCACAGGAATTAATTTCATTTCCTCATTAATATCAATTGGCAAATGACATCAAGAAATTCTTTCCAATGACGGTACAAAAAGACTATCTTTCTGAAAAGAGAAAACGACCCACTAAACCTAACTCACCTGCTTTTGAAGCTCTGCATCACTACAGTATCCTCAGCGGGTCAGAGGACCTTTACAGGCCACACTTAAAGGGTTCTCCTCCCATTTGCTCTGTAAACTTTCACTTGAATCACAGTAAGTTTTTTTTAAAAAAGTTATCATCGTCGACTGTATTAAGATGGCTGGAAACGAAGAGTCTCTCTAGAAAGAACACCTCTCCTTAGCTATAACAGTACTACAGTCAAATCTTGAAATACCATTTATGTTAATTAAAAGGTAGCTGTTCTTAGTAGAGGGCAGCCTGTTAATGCAACTGCTACATTACACAGGAACCTAGACTTGCAGTTGTTTAATATGAAGGTGTGTGCAGTGCTAGATGTTGTTGATAGTTTCTCATTTCCAAAACTGATTTCCTATAGTTCTGTGCTGGCCACTGTTGACATCATGTTAGGAGATCTGGGTATCACTTTATTTTCCCTTATCTTCAGTTTCCTTCTCTTTTTTTTTTTAATCTTATATATATTTTTTTATTTTAATTATTTTGTTGTTGTTGAGAATATAAATAGAAAAACATAAAACAATTCACCAGTTACTACATGTACCATTTAATGACATTGATTTGCATTCTTCAAGTTGTGCAGCCATTGTCACTCCTTTTCTGAGTTGTTCCTCCTCTATTAAAATTAATTCACTGCCCTCTAAGGTTCCTAGCTAATCTTATGAATTGCCATCAGCAATTTGATTCCATATAGATAGGTTCTTAAAAGAGCATTGTGCTCTAGGTAGATATTTTTTACTAGTTAAGCTAAACTACTGTTGGTTTTAAGACTTCAGGGGATGTTTTTGGTTTAAGTTCAAAGACTGTCTTAGGGCAATAGTTGTAGGGGTTCATCCAATCTTCATAGCTCCATTAAGTCTGAAGTCCGTGAGAATATAAAATTCTATTCTGCATTTTCCCCCCTTTTCATCAGGATTCTGGCATAGAATCTTTGATCAAAATGTTCAATAATAGTAGCCAGGCACCATCCAGTTTTGTATGGATTTTTGTAAGCTTTCTTAAATCCTTTGGAAAACCTGGCATGCAATTGTTCACTTATATCCAACCCCTTTTCTCTCCACAAAAAGACAAAACATGTTGCCAGTTAGTGGCAAGAATGGCCAGACTTTGTCTCACATACTTCAGTCATCTTGCCAGAAGGGACCATTCCCTGGAGAAGGATGTCATGCTTGGTAAGGTGGAGGGTCGACAAGAGGGGAAGGCCCTCAACGAGGTGGATTGACCCAGTGGCGGCAGCGATGGGCTCAAATGTAGCAAGAATCGTGAGCTGGCTCAGCACCAGGCGGTGTTTCATTCTGCTATGCATAGGGTCACTATGAGTCGGAGAGGACTGGATGGCACTTAACAACAACAGTATTAACTGGTCTTCCTTGTTGGAGTATGGATACTATGCTATCACTGACAGCACTGTACTTCAGGATAGATCCTGAAACTTTCTTTGTAATGAAGAATGCCACGTCATTCCTCTTCAATTTGCCATTCCCAGCATAGTAGATCATATGGTTGTCTGATTCAAAATGGCCAAAACCAGTCCATGTTAGCTCACTATTGCCTAGCATATCAATCTTTATGCATTCCATTTCCTTTTTGACAACTTCCAATTTTCCTAGATTCATCCTTTGTATAGTCCATGTTCCAGTTATTAATGTATGTTTACAGCTATTTCTTCCCATTTTGAGTCATGCCACATCAGCCAATGGAGGCCCCGAAAGCTTTACTCCATCCACATCATTAAGATAGACTCTACTTTTATGAGGCAGCTCCTCCCCAGTCCTATTTTGAGTGCCTTCCGACCTGAGAAGCTCATCTTCTGGCACTATATGGGACAGTGTTTCCAGGCTAGTCATAATATTTCTAGTAATCTATCAGACAGTGTTTCACTGCTATTCATAAGATTTTCACTGGCCAATTCTTTGAGAAGTGGATGGCCCCTTCCTTTTTCTGAGTCTGTCTTAGTCTGGAAGCTTGACCACCATGGGTGACCCTGCTGGTCAATTTGAAATACTGGAGGTATAGCCTCCAGCCTCATAGCAACATACAAGCCACCACAGTATGACAAACTGACAGACAAGTGGTGAGTTTTATATAGTTCAGCTTAAATCAAGATCTCTTTAAATAACCTTTATTGCTATGATTGTGACCTCCTTTTATGCACCCCTGGATCTCTTTAAAGAATGTTGGTGGCACAGTGGTTAAGTGTTCAACTGCTAACCAAAGATTAGCAATTCAAACCCACCAGTCACTCTGCAAGGGAAATATGTGGCAGTCTGCTTCCATAAAGATTTACAATCTTGAAAACCCTATGGGGCAGTTCTACTCTGTCCTTTACAGTCACTGTGAGTCAGAATCAACTCAGTGGCAATGGATTTGGTTTAGTTTTTGGATCTCTTTAAACTTTTCACACTGGATTTCTAAAATCTTCAAGTTTGTTCTACTTGTATGTTGTTGTTAGGTGCCTTCA